GCCGGCGGGGAGCGGCGCCGCGATGCTGCCCTGGCGCCGGAGCAAGTTCGTGCTGGTGGAGGAGGAGCGGAAGGGCAAGGGCAAGAGCCTGGGCCCGGGGCTGAGCTACGCCTCGCTGCTGGCCAGCTTCCTGCGCTCCTGCCCCGACCTGCTGCCCGAGTGCCCGCTGGAGCGCCTGGGCAGCGTCTTCCGCAGCCGGCGCCAGAAGGTGGAGCTGACCCAGGAGGAGCCCAGCTACACGGTGTGGTACCTGGGCAATGCCGTGACGCTGCACGCCAAGGGCGAGGGCTGCACCGACGAGGCCGTGGGCAAGATCTGGGCCAAGAGCGGCGGGGGCGGCGGCGCCAAGATGAAGCTGTCGCTGGGCCCCCACGGTATCCGCATGACGCCCTGCGACAAGGGCGCGCGCCGGCCCGGGCACGCCTACCTGCTGCACCGCATCACCTACTGCGTGGCCGACGGGCGGCACCCCAAGGTCTTCGCCTGGGTCTACCGGCACCAGGTGAAGAACAAGGCCGTGGTGCTGCGCTGCCACGCCGTGCTGGTGTCCAAGGCCGACAAGGCCCGGGCCATGGCCTTGCTGCTCTACCAGACCTCGGTCTCCGCCTTCAACGAGTTCAAGCGCCTCAAGCGCCAGAACGACTTCCGCCATGTGCAGCAGCAGCTCCTGGGCGACGCCATCATCCCGCTGGTGCCCATCCGCAAGCTGCTCAACGCCAAGTGCCCCTACCGCCCGCCTGCCGAGAGGAACCGCAGCGCCCCGCGCCTCAGCTCCATCCTGGAGGAGGAGGAGGATGAGAGCCTCGCGGCCAGCGGGGACGACGGCTCGGCCTCTGCCGGCAGCCCCGCCGCACCCAGGCCCACCACCAGCAGGGCCCTGGGGGCCTCCAGCCTCGACTCCAGCAGCCACAGGAGCCTTGACCGCATCGGCAGCGGCGTCGCTGCCGCCAAGACATGCAACAGCGGTGCATCCAGCCCTGGCAGCGGGAGCCTGGCACCGGGCTCCAAGACAGCGAAACAGGAGCGGGCCACAGTGCTGACATTAACCCGGGAGATGCGGGGCTGCAGCCTGCGGAGCCCACTGCCCCACGGCTACTGAAGCTGGGGTGGCGGTGAGGAGGATGGGACTTTTGTTGCCGCGAGGCCCCTGTCCGTGTTCCCCTGGCTGCTGTCTTTACCACCAGCGAGGGCCAGGGCTGCTGAGGGACCAGACGGCAGTCACCAGCCTCTGCTGATGGATGGGGCTTATTCACTTGGACTGACTGTATCCACCCGTTCATCGTCCTCCGAGTAAAAGCACCGGCTTGGAACTGTCCTTTCCATCCGCTCTTGCGAGCAGATGTTGGGATCCTCTGGGAAGTGTCGGCACTTATCTCCGCATCTTCGAACCCGCTTGTCCCTCCTGCTAACCTGCCTGGGAGAAATGACTGCACTGGACTTCAACGACTGGCCGGAGAGCCATGGACAGGCTCCTGCAGACCTGAGACAGACCTGCAGGTTTCGGGTGGGTCAAGGGTTCCTTTTCCAGCATTGAGCAGGGGGTGTGTGTGACTTGCAGCGATTTCAAGAGAGAGACATGCACACACATGAACCGAGAGATTTTATATTTATATTTCAACTGAGAGACCCAGAAGCTGTTCCAGCTGGAGTGACTTTTACTACTTGATATATATTGAAATTTATATCTTTAAAATAATGCCATATATTTACATAGAGAGGCCCATAGATTTTGCTCCTATTGCGATGTGCAATTTTTGTACAGTTTTCTATGTGTCCCACCGGGCAAGTGCTGGGTTGTGTCTGAAGCGGTGGGTGAGCTGAAAGGCTGAAGCACTTAGCAAGGGTCTGATCTCCCCGCTGCTCTTTAGAAGGGGTGTGGGTGCTGAGTAGCTCTGCAAATCAGGTCACAGTTTATAAACCTGCACAGCTAATAAATGGCCTGATTTTCGGAGGTGCTGAGCAAACAGTCTTCTATGGGACTCGCAGCTCAGCACCTCTGAAAATCCGCCTGAAGGTAGCTAGCCGTAGATTTAGATGTCTAAATGTTGACACCCGCACATGGAAAAATTGGCTTTTGGTGCCTAGATTTGTCTTAAGGGGATGGGATGTAGAACACCCGGGACCAAATTCATCCTGGCTTTGGCTTCAGTAGGGTGGGTTACATAAGGGATGAATTTGCCTCTGGGTATCCGACTCTGGGGAGGAGGTGTAGAGCATTACGGAGAGAAAGCAGCTTTGTTTGGAAGCATAATGCAGGGGGTGTTTTAACTCCAGGGGGAGATGGACAGCGCACGTCTCATCTGTACGTGCACAGCGGAGAGCCCAACACGGTGGGGAGTGGTGTATGTATATGCCCGCACCACCACACACTAACACACACACACACACATGCACACAGGAATTGTAATAAAGTTTATCTGTGTTTTCCGCAAGAGAACGATTGCTGTGTTTTATCCTTTGCCAGCTCCAAAACACCACCGCTGTTGTGTCTCCACAGCTTTAGAGCCAGAACCAGGAAAGAGTCAGTGTCAGCACTGAGAGCAGATCGGGCTCCTAGCCGATCTATCGCTGTTAGAGATGTGTACTGCAGCCCGTCACCGCGGGGTCGGAGCATCTGCCATGTCAAAGCAACGTAAGGCCCCATCTGGCTTTCCAGGTGTCTCTGGCACTTCTCCCTTCGCTGCATCCTATTTGGGTCCTGGGTCAGCAGGCTCGTTGGTTCGGTGCTCACTACCCTGTAGTAGTTATAACTGAAGGATTTTACAGGTCCGGGATGGAGGTGCTGGTGATGTGGGTGCCGGTTAGTACAGGATTGTGAGGTGCAAGGGGGCTATGTGTGAGCACATGCATAAGACTATGAATGTGTACAATTGTGTCCCTCTGGGTGCTTCTGCATCTGTGTGCTTGTGTAATTTCTCCTTGCGTGCACTTGCACATATGGATGTACGTGTGTACGTGTGCCTGCCAAGGGGGACTACATAGGTCTATGTTGTTTTCAAACCAAAGAGCTTTAATGGGATGCCCCAAACTCACAGGCTGCTGCTTAGAGCAGCACTGGCTGCCACCGAGTGACTTGTGTTGGTTCCTGATGTGGCACATGGGTGTCACGAAGAGGCACCCATGTTTGATGGCAGGGACCTGTGTGTGGGTGTTGCATAGGAGTAGATGGTAGGCCTGGGACCATCAGATTGTATCTGTGATGTGGAGGTCCCTGGAGATCAGTCCCTTGCAGTGAATCATCAGGAATAAAGAGAAACTCTGAAATGAACCTGTGCTGCAACAGAGGACCGTGCAGGGGCAATTTCCAAGAGGAAGGGGTTTGGGGCACGGCCCTTTCCTATTATATGAACATCACGCTGCCTTCCCTTTTGTCTTTCTCCATGCAGCCATCCTCACGTTCCTGCTGCTTTTATCTTTGCTTCGGGGGGAACAAATATGTCGTGGAAAAAAAACGAACCCAAAGAAAAGTCACTCCATGCTTTTGAAAATCCACATTCCATCACGATGGCAACTGAAGTTCTAGAAACGATATCAAATAAAGGGCTGCTTCAAGTAGCCATGGCAACCAGCATTTTAAAAATAGGGGGCCCAATGCATCTTTGGCATAACTCCACCCACTCCGATGAGCTTCCACCGGGAGGGATTTGGCCCATTTAGCTAAGAAGATTGTTTTTCTCTTTCCTTTTATTCCTCTGCCTTTCAGGCATGTGGGTTTTATTAAAAGCTCATTTGCTTCTTGCTGAGTGAAAGGTCTGAGTATTAGTCTTCAGCCTTTTGTTGGGACTCAGGCTCGTGCCCCTAATGCAGGGGAGATGGCTAGGGGAATTTGTTACTCTTCTAGCACCAATGGTGTGGCCCCTGCTGTCTGATAACAGGGAAATCTGTGCTCTCTTCCTCACTGAGCTTACAAGATGGCAGGTGTCCAAAAGCAGCCCTCCAGTGCATGGACATCCGTGGTGAAGAATTGTGCTGGGAGTCCAAATCCAAAAGCAGTCCCCATCTCCAACTCATCTCTCCTCCCTGGTGCTGCAAGCTTGTTTCTTTTCTAACTGGGTCCTTCTCCCCTCTGAGATGGCAATTCCTGTGCACCTAGGGGCAGCAGGAGACTGAGCCATGATGCCCAATGGGCCTCAGTGCAGCAGTCACTACATGGTCTGTCAACTCTCAGGCATGGTCATCATGAGTTCTAGGCTAAGGGAGTGAAGGAGAGAGGGTGGAGAGGAGGCAAATGTTGAAGACAGAAGGCTTTTTCCAGAGCAGAATCTGAGCCATTCCCCCTGGCTGTGTGACATGGGTAGCAGAGCCCTCAGATTCAGGCTGAAAACAGTATAGGCCCTGTGCCCCCTGCTTGCCTTTGCCACCCAAGTCATCCAGGACCTTGCCTTGCTGCCAGGTCTCTTCCTTGAATCAGCCCTCTCCATGGTCCTGCACAGGCCAGTCTGGGAAGAGGTGTTGCTTCCAAGTAGACCCAATGGGTGAAGGATGATACATGTTGAACTATTTTACCCCTTTGCCTGGCATGGGTGTATATGAAGTGGGAGAGTGGCTGTGGGTCTGGGACTGAGGGGCAGTGGGGCTGGGTAGGAGGGATGTCTTGGTGTTTGGGAAAAGGGTCAACCTGTTTGGATGGGGTAGGTGTTGGGTGCCAGTGGGATGGTTCAGGACTTGGAAAGTAAATGAAGCCTTTCCTTGAGGCCAATTAGACAAAGGAAAGGAAGCCAGGGTGTGTCTAGGTGAATGGTGGGAAGGGTTGGACAGCTGAAGGGAGGGGTTTTGGGTGGATGTCTGGGACTTTAGGAAGAGGAGTCTTGCGTAGAAATTCAAGCCTTTCACTACAGGAAGGCTTAGGCAGCTTGCTGAGGGTTTGTAATGTAGTCCCAGGGCTGCAAGGCTTTGCAGACAAGTTCGCAGACTCATCACCAGCCCTCCAAGGGTTAAGGTTCCTTTAAAAATAGAATTTAGCTAGTGTTAAAGGAGCGTGTGTGTGTGTGTGTGTGTGTGTGCGTGCGTGTGTGTGTGTGTCTGTGTGTGTGTCTGTGTGTGTGTGTGTGTGTGTGGTTTAGAAATCACACCCCAGCTCTCAGCACCTAAAGACTGAATTAGCTAGTGGCAAAACACTTCAGCAGTCCCAACCTGCACCTGCCAGCCCCATACACAGCCTCAACTGAATGGAGTGGACAGGAGAAGTGAGCTGAGGAGCTGTGAACTCTGGTGCAAGCCTCAGAACATGATCTCCACCCAACAATGTGGACTGGGTGCTTCCATCTTCCAGCTGCTCTTCCCAGTGCAGCTCAGCAGACCTCTCACGTCCCACAGAACGTCAGGAGCCTGGAGCTTGTCAGACATGCTGCGATGCAGCACGATGATCCTGTCACATCTCATAAACTAAGCAGGGTTAGGCTTGGCTGCTCCTTGGAAAAGAGACTTCCTGGAGCCATCCAGCTGTTTCCAGATGTGCTGACTAGCACTCTTCTCTCTGAGTCCGTGGTGCATGGCTAAAAGTCAGGGTGGTGGTGGGTATCTCTAACCAGGCACCTCTTAACCCCAAGCTCCGATCAGCAAGTGTTGCAGGTCTATCCAGGCAACACGCACCCCCTGAGTGGTCTTGGCAGTCCACACAGAAGTGATTTATAGGCATCTCTGCAGCTGTCGGTACTGTAATATATGGGCTGCACCAGAGGACTCCAGAGGTCATCAGCTTTTGTGGATAATGCAGGGGCAGCAGTGAAAGGATTAAAGGCCATCCAGGGGGATCCCAATCCAGTGCAGGGAATTTGCAGTGGCTGCTCAGTTTGCTGCTGATGCACCAGCCTAGAAGGCAAGCTCACAGCTGGGATGACGCCAGCTCTTGTGCTAAGCCTTTTCACTGGCCATTGTGCAATGACAACAGGGTTATCCCCAATCCAAGACACAATCTAAGCAAAGGCTGCATTCACACTGCTCCTTTTGTGACTGCCCTTGGGGCTGGGTTGTGACTCAGCTGCAGGGCTAGTGCTGGCATAAACTATAGGCTCCTCAACTGAGTGAGTAACTAACTCTGTTCAAGCCAGTGTCTCCGCAGCTGGCAGGTCTGCATGCCCTATGTGTCAGCTCATGCCCTTTCTGCCTTCTGGCTTTAAAATAAGCTCACCCAGGAATACTGGCATCATTCTCCAGTGGGCTTAGATGTAGCTGTTCCTGCCTCTCTGTCAACAGCAGGGCATAATTTTATTGAGTGAGCACAGGAAGGTTTTGAATCTAACCAAAGTTCAAAGCTCATCTCCCAGTGAAGTCCCTTTTGACAGCTGCAGCTCACAGGGCACAGTGACAGAGCTCTCCTGCTCCTAAGGTACCATAGGGTCCAAATGTCTCTAAACTCTGCCCCCTGAATGGCTTGACCAGAAGAAGAGGTGAACTGGGGTAAGATCTCTGAAGCACAGCATGGGATATGAAAGCAAGCAGGGAAGAACTTCATCCAAGCTCTGTACCGCAGCTTTGCTCAGGGATTTGCAAACACTCCATAGCAAAGGGGTGTGAATGATGAAAGAACTGGGCATGGTTGGAAAACTAGTTATTCAGCAGCTTTCTGAGTGAGAGCAGGGCCAGAAGCAGGCTTTCCTTTTCCATTTTTTTCCTGTTTCCTCTTTCTTTCTCCTCTTCCTCCCATGCCAATTTAAATAGGGCAATTTAATACTCCCCAAGAAGCAGCACATCCAATCAGAACATGCGCCATGACTTTCCCCATGCGTCTTTTATATTGACTTGGGGGGGCAACACCTAAAGTAGCTCAATCTTTATGCCCCTTCACTTCCTAACCCTTCCAGTGGGGTTGCCAACAGATTATCAGTTAGTGCTATTCACAAAAGCTTTGGTGATGAGAACCTCTATCCACTAAGAAAAGGCATGGGAACTGATAAGCACACACAGGCATATGGATTTGGGGGTCAGAGGAAACCATTGTAATCATCTAGTCTGCCTTCCTAAACAGTATCAATTGTTGTTTTAACCTAGAATTTCTTCACTGATCATTTACGGCTGAACTAAAGTGTCTCTTTTATCAATGATATCCAATCTAGTTTTAAAGGTTCTAACTGTTGGAGAATGTCCACATTTCTTGCTAAACTGCTCCAATGGGTGATGGCTCTCACTGTAAAAAATGTGTGCACTTGCCATCTGCTTCATCAAGGCCATGTTTCCTATTTTGTATGGGAACTGGGCATAAAGTGGGCATGGGAATACTTAGGGACTAGCATTTAGCCACTAGTCCAAACAGCTCAGAGGGAAGATTATGGGAGTGGAGAGTGAAAGTAGGTTCTGTATTGCATGTAGATGGCACTGGGGAGCCTATGGAAATGAGATTTAGAGTTCCTGGCCAGGTTTGTGTCTGTTTGGCTCAGAAAGCCTTGATTCATCACCGTTCAACCACTTTGTCTCAAATAACGAGAGCCCACAATGACTTTCTCTCCTTTGCTCTGAGGTCCACAAACAAAAAGCATTCCATGAGTGCTGAGCATTGTATCAGCAATGAAAATATCACAGGGCAATTCTCCTACAGCAGTAGGCTGGGCTCACAGGACCTTTAGCACCAGACATCACTGTTTGAGACATCACTCTGTTTCAACTGTTCTTGATGGTGACCTCTAGCGGCCACTTGCATTACAGATGTGTATTCCCTAAGGAGTGCCAAGTGGTTCTACAGTACAATAGGTGGTTATATTCATCCCTGGGGCGCTCAGATCCTGTACTGAAATGACAGACGCAGCATAGGAACCTCAGTAAAACAGGACTGAAAATTACCTATGTGCATATCCCAAATGATCTACGCCAGGCCCCATTCCCTCTTTGAAGGAATTAGAAAAACTGGTTTAGGTTCATTGCTACTAATATGATTTTGCATATCTTTCTTTACCTTTACAACACTGAATTAAGGTAAACAAGTGCCATCATTCTGTCTTTTGGTGTTAAAAGTGGAGCATTCAGAGTGGCTCTGATGTTCTTTTGAAATATATAAACATATTGTAAAGCAAGAAAAAATAGTAGCATCCCAAGCAGACAGCACCATTTCGATTCAAGAGTGGCTGGTAGGGGCCCCTATGAAAGTTCCTTCTAGTGAAAGCTGGAGCCATGGGAGAACTCCTGGCTTCACGCTCCCCTCCTGGGACTGGCCATTTCCCCAGACATCAAAAACTGAATTGCAGCAGAGCCACCACTTCTTCAAAATATACAGCCTATCCTTGTTGTGCCTGGCTCTTTCATGTTATTGCTAATTTCTCCCTTTCAGATTAGTGTGAGTCTCTCACCACCTAGTGGCTACAAAGGCAGCAGCACACAGAGAAGTATTGCACTGGGGTGGAACTAAGGCGGTGGTTCTCAACCTTTTAAGACTTGAGGCACCCCTTGATAAGTTTGAGACGCCCCCCTCTGAAAATGTCAGCTCTGAGTTTTCACTCGTTTCATAGTTTCATAGTTTCTAGGGTCAGAAGGGACCTAAGAAGATCATCTAGTCCAACCCCCTGCCATGGCAGGAAAGAGTACTGGGGTCAAACGACCCCAGCAAGGTGTTCATCTAACCTCATCTTAAAAACCCCCAGGGTAGGAGCCTGCACCACCTCCCTTGGAAGTTGGTTCCAGACCCTAGCCGCCCTGACCGTGAAATAGCGCCTTCTGATGTCTAACCTAAACCTACCCTCTGCTAGCTTGTGACCATT